GAAGCTGAGCAGCAGAAGGCTTGGTTGTATCAGCTTCTCCTAGGTGACATTGTTTGCTTTCTCTGGGTGAATGTTTTAAAAGGCATCTGTTGAAATGTCTTGCAAAATTCACACAACATATGTGCAGACTCATATGCAAATATGGAGCACATCCCTTTTACCACTTGAGCTTTGTTTAAAACTTTGCCATAAATTCACTTTTTTTGTCTTGGGTATCATCTGCTCTTGTCCTTGTACATGAAAGGTTCTGCGCCTTTGAAACAGAACTACACACTTTGAAACAGAAACTGTCTTCCATGAACTGGGGCAGAGCAAGACACTTCAAGAAGACTTCAGGTCTCATCTCCACAACACAAGTCTTCAGCTTTAGAGATCCTGAAACTGCTTCTGAGCCCTGTGCTTGCATAAAGTTTGCAAAGCACTGACAGTGAATTGAGGGTCTCCCTCAACTTAGAGTGACTTTCTTTCCTTCATAGATTACAAAGCAGTCGAGTGCATGCATAAAGCAGAGGAGTGAATCCATATGTCCACTGAGAGGCCAGCTGCAATTGCATCCCTAATGCACGGAGGGAACTGCAGCCCCCAGACATCCATGTGGGTGACATGCCAACCGCAGGCCATACATCCTTTTCAGGATACGGGATGTAGCAGGAAACACGTTCCTCTGGCAGTCCATCAGTGCAGGCAGTGCTCCTGGTTCCTCAGGTGCAGAGCTCTCTGCCACTCTGCTCCAGGGTGGCACCTTCTCAAGTTTTTATGAGCGAGCCTGGTCTAAATGGAGCAGGGGAGCTTTCCTGAGCCTGGCCCATGAGTCCACTGGTTCTCATGGAGATACAACAGGGTTTGGACTGGCCCAACAATTCTGCCTCATGAAGCAGAAGAAATGCACAGTTTTTGTTTGCTAGGTGTCCAAGAAGAGATTAGAGCTGCAAAGGAACAGTCTTTCTCCAGAGATGCCTGCTCCCTTCCTGAGCTTATCATGCCAACATTGTGCAGCCTAGTGAGTTTTTGGCAGTGCTGTGCCATGCTACCAGCCCTGCCAGTGGCTGGAGCAACACGGCACTCTGGTCAGAGCACTGTGAAACCACTGGTGCTCAGTAGATGAGGAAATGCTGCAGAATTGAGCCCTCTCCTGCTGAATTAATCAGAGAGAGACTGGCAGAATTTTAAAAAGTTGCATTGGCTGTAAAAAGGTGTGGTTGTTTTGAGGCTGTAGCAAAGAGAACTTAGAAACCAAGAGAAATGTCACTGCTGGATGATGTTCCCATCTCTGTTGTATGTGCTATGCACTTCATTTCCTCCATGTTCCTCTGCAAATAACTTTGCAAATTGCACCCAAAATGCATGATGTATCAGAAAGGCATAAAACGGCATGTGGCTGCAGGATGGTGGTGAGGAAAATGTGGACTAATACTGACTTTCAAAGGTAATCCCAGTAACCATGGACATTGTCCATTTCCCAGTGGTCATCTCCCATTGCCCAGAATGTAGAGCTGGACTGGAACGAGTGGGAATGCTGGGGAACAGAGCAGCATACAACCTCAGCTGCCTTGCAGGGAACGGGGAGACCTTTTTTTTTTACGTCCTGTTAATTAATTATGTCCTGCAACTTCCATAGGAGCCAACAAGCACCACAAACAAAAAGGAGAGAGACCAGAGAAAAGCATGTTCAGATATATTGCAGGAGTAAAGAACTAAGAAACTTCGGCTGAACTCGTCCCAGAATATAAATTGCACAAGATATTTCTCCTTACTAGAGTCTCTCAGTTCTCTGATCTTGCCCTCAAACTACATTATGCAAAAGACATCTGAAATTATCTTTGGTCATTTCAGTTTATCCCTTATTTTGCTGAATGATGGGTAGTGGATTTCAAGGTGACTTCTCATTTGCCAAAATCATTATGGTCTGTTCCTGACTGACTGGGTGGAAAAAGCAGTAAGAAGATGTACTGATTCTGCACAAGCCCATCAGATAAATATGTGGCACTTAATTTCACACACCTCATGCAAGCAGTCAATTAATGTTCCTGCTTTGGCACTGAACACAAATTCCATACATATGACTGGGCTTATTTCAGCATGTCCAAACCTCCATGCAAAATGGAGATTAGATACAGGTTCTGGCTGAGAAATTTGCAGAGAGATGTTACCCCAGGGTCCTTGCCACACAAGCACAAATAGGAGCGGGAACGTAGTTTCAATGCTGATATAGTCTCTGTTTACTGGATAAAATCTAATCAATTGTTTCCAGTGCCCTGATGAATATGATGCACTTCCTAATCCTGCAGTCAGTCTATTAGACATGGATTGAAGTCATCAGCAAGAAAATAATGTTCTCAGAGAGATGACACATTAGCTATATGCTCAGTTGGGGCTATGTTCTTTTTGCCAGACAATAACCCTGTTCCAGGAGTGCAGAGACATACATAAGCAATAGGAAAGAAGAGTTTATTAACCAAGATGATTATTGCATTGTTGAGAGGAAATTTTCACCATTGCTAAATTCTGTAAGAAAGTGCCTCATAATTTCTCAGAACTGGGAACAAAACGATGCTCTGGCAGAGAGCTGGGCTGTTCCTATTCTGCGAGGTGGCTGACATTGGCTGTCAGTTGTTGAGCCCAGAGGACAGCATGCAGGTGCTTGCTGAAATATGCCAAGCCCCTGTTCCCGACAGAGCGGTTTCCTTCCCCCTCACCTTGCTGTGCTGGCAGCGGTGGGGGCTCACACAAGATGGGTATCCCATGCTGGTGTCAGACTGGTGCTGAAGGAGAGGGGAAGCTGTTCCTCCACTCGCGGTCATACCCTGGACATACCTGGGAAAGAGTGCACTGTTGTGATTTGTTCTGTAGGAAACTTCATTGTGAGGAAGCAACAGAGTGCATGGAATCAGTGATGACAGGGGCAGGAAAGAACAAGTGTTGGGTTCGTGGACATGGTAGTTGTTATTCAAGTGCCTAAACATGGGTGACATCAGATCTCTGATAGGTCCCACATCACTCCTTTCAGCCCTTTGTGGGTGTCTTAGATACCCTGGCATACTCCAAATGGCTCAGGTGACTCTGAATTGAGCACTGGGAGTGTAACTCTGCTGAGAGGTCCAGAGGAGTGCTCTGACCACGCTGGCTTTGGGAAGTCATGAGCAGTTCATGCTGGAAGACAAGACTGTCTTAGCCTGTCTTTGACTGAGAAGCATGTGTGCAATGTGAAGGGTAGGTGACAGAAGGTTTAAAATATCTAGGGGAAGTCACAGTGGGAGAAAAGCTGTGGAGGCAGCTCTGCATCCCCACATGCAGACATGCGTGGGAACTGCTGGGTCCATTTCTAGGCAACAGAGAGCACCAAGGATGTAGTGAAATGTGAGCACTCAGAGAGGAGGAAGGTGTTCTGCTAACACAAACAGGACTCCACACAGGAGAAAGGCAGCAGGGAACGAGATGGTTTGACTCCTGCAAATTTTTTTTGCAGGAAACAGTTTAATTTGTGACTCTAGAAAAATGTCTTCTGAAATATCTGCGCTCTACTTGGGTGGATTTTGTTTTAAACTTTTGTGGGAGATGAGGGAAGTTAGCAAATTTTGGACACTGCACAAAGCCAACACATTTGTCAAGGTAAAATTCCCCTTGCTGCTCAATTACTTTTGGGCAGAAGCTGCACTTTAACCTCAACCAGTCCATGGTTCAGAGGAGGTAAGAGGGTCTTGAGGCACGTAAGTGCATATTGAGCACATGTTGCATTGCTCTTCATGAGCACACTTTAGAGGGGTGCACAACAGCAATGTGTCAACCCAGGACTTGAGCATTCTGCCTCTCCTCAGCTGTATCAGAGAACTTAGCCCTCTGATTTAATTTTCAGACCATACTTGAAGTGGCTACCTCCTTGGTCTTTTGACCCAGCTAATGCAATCCCGTCACTGGTGCGAGCTCAGCAGAGCTGAGACTCACAGAGCCCCCTGTAGTCTGTTCTAGCTTTGCTTCTAATAATTGAAGCTCCATCTCTGCCTACTTTAATATCTGAACACCTGGGAGTTATAAATACAATTCAACAGGTCCCTGTCCCTTGGCTGAGCTGATGAAAGACCGTTTTCTATCCAGCTTGCAGCAAAGGACCATGATTTCAATACCAGACAATCTCAATATCAGGCTGCAGATTGTTTGGACTTGACTTTTAACATCCAGGCTCAGTGCTAATCCTTATTGACAGTTTCCTCAGCATTAGCGTCCTGACAGCGGGCATTTTGACACTGGCTGAGGACTCCTCAGTGACCAACAAAATGAAAATAAGTAGAGAGGCATCCTCCACCCCTCAGGGATGGCACCTCCTTTCCTGCTTCAGGAACCTCTCCAAACCTTGCCTTGTCTTCTGTCTGCACCGAGATGTACACCCCACAGCTCTGCTTCATACTTCCCTGTGTGCAGGGGAAGCATGGCCATCTCTAGAGCCCATCAGAACCCCTGGGGCCATGGAACGGCTTTGCCCAGGAGCCTCCAGGTTCAGAGCATTAATCAGAAATCTGGCACTATGAGACAGCAATTTGATTATCAGCCCCAGTTAAAATAACCCCATAAACGCATTCCCATGGGTGTGAGGGTGGGAAAAGCACAGCTTGCTGGGGTAAAGGTAAGTGATGCTGCCTGAACTCATGCAGGCTGCAGTGGGGTCAGTCCACAGCACCATGACACAGCCCTCCATGGTAAGTGAGGGGTGACTCACAGTCCACCAGACCCTCTGTCCCACGGTGAGGAGGGCTGGTTTGTCCATGTGCTTTTGAGGAAGCAGTTTGCTTCTCTCCATAGTCACTGTGGACAAGGAAACAATGCCACAGGATCCATTTTTCACTGATCTGCTGGTGCCAGTTTGAATTATGTCCAACAGCCTGTCACTGAGGCTTGCTCAGATATAACTCTTCTCCCTGCCGGAGTTTGTGGTAATGGCTTGCCTCTCTCAACTTGTTTTGATGCACACTGTGGACATGCCTTTCTCTGTTGTTTTTTTTTTTCAGACAAGCCACGAATGAACAACATCCTTACTTCTGCCACCGAACCCTATGATCTGTCCTTCTCCCGGTCCTTCCAGAACCTCTCTCAGCTCCCACCATCCTATGAGTCTGCCGTCAAGACAAACCCAAGTAAATATTCTTCTCTGAAGAGACTAAGTAGGTGTCAGCTCATTTCATTTCCTTTGTATCTCATTGGCTTGTAAGCCGCAGTGGGCACAATGTTAAGGCAATAATCTTCTTCTCTCTGTCATTGTACTGCCCAAGTTGGCATCTCTGGTAATGACTCTTTTGGCTGTCGCTTCCCATCAAGGAAGAGTACAGAGAAAGAGTCACTTCATTATTGTGAGAGCACATGTGGTTACTTGCTTACTGACCTCCTTGCTGTGCTGCCTCCCACTGCTTTGCCTTATATCTGCTCCCGATAGAGTCATCTGAGAATCCTTTTTCTTTCTGGTGGAGTCAAGATGAGCCAAGCTGGCTGCCTCAGATCAGCTGAGCTCACCTTGGCATGCCCAGGGCAGATATCTCACAATCTGTGGGGGTAGCTGGAACCAGATGACAAACTCAAGCCAACAGAAAGCTGCTGAAATGGTTGGGAGCACCTATTTCAGTAGTAGCACATCTGCCTGCCTTGAGCAGTGCTGCGATCTGCCATGTTTCATGGTGTATGTGTCCAGATCTGGTCCTGACCTATGCCGTACACTGATCCATGGTGCATCTCTGACATTTCAGCATGTTGCTCACTGCCCTGTTCACACTAGTTAGTATCTGTTCTTTCTTGCTGTTTTATGTATTGCATTGTTCTGCCAACTTTCCTGTAATGCTCCAGACCATCACCTTGACTGATGGCAAACTCTTCAGCTTTGGTGGGATTATGAAATAAGTGATACTTGTGCGGGCAAATGCTCTCTCCAGACTCAGACACTAGGTTTGTAGTATGTTTCCATGAACATTTTCTGGATGAGGCCATGTATTCACACTGCCTAATTTAGGTAAATAACTTAGGTGTTTATACTTGCAATAGCTTCATTGAAGGTTGAGGAGCAGATCCTACTTCCTTAGTCTATATAAAATCTGCATTCCCAATTTAGCCAGCTAAGTGAAACACAAAAACCTAAGTGGCAGGGAAGCCTTTGAATTGTCCATAACAAATCTCTGTGTGGAAGATTTTCCAGAAGAGAAAATGGACTGGAAATGTAGCACAGCATAAAAAATCTCAGCCCACTCCTTGGTGCTTCAGTGTGGGACTTATGTACATGTTTAACATTAAGGTAAATACATTTGATGTGTTTAAAAGCAAGTATGTGCTTAACTGTGTTGGAGAACAGAGATGAGGTATTTTGTGATTGGAGCCTACCATCTTCCCTGTTCAGTGTGCCATGCACATAACCGCTTCTGTCATGAGCTTTGTTCACTGGTAACATTTGGATCTCACACTCCCAACCACAAGGATTTTTCCCTCGCTGCATCCCAGTGATGAACTGTCCATGTTCTTGAGCAGCTTTGATGATACTACCTGATATTAGAAAACCCTTGAAATGACGGCATTGCAATATCGCTGCTTTAAAATGTCCCCATTTTGAGGTTATGATTTGTTTTCATTTCTCAGCTGAAATAAAAATTTCTCAGCACAAAAAATATACCCCCTGGATAGCGCTGAAAACTGCTGTTTCATTTGTAATTGATTTGCAGTGCCTGGGATTACCTGGGGTACATACTTCTTATTCAGAGTCTGGGAGATCTCTGTCCTGGCATCATTGAAAACAGGTTAGAGAAGTGCTCACCAGGAACAGCAACAATGGCTGCTCCTGTCGTGATGCAGGGGATGGTCAAGACCTCTTCCAGCCTGTGGTTCATTTATTGCTTTATATATTGTGCATAGATGCTCAGTGAAATCTCCTTAAGCTCTATGTTAAAGTTATTCATATATCTCACTGAAACATTAAAAAACCACAAATGAATGCTAACTGAAACTCCCACCCCTTCCACAGCCAACATCTGGAAATGTATGTCAGATTTGAACACTATCCTCTACCTACTCCTACAACGCTTACCTGATTCACACTGAGTATAAATTCACTCACACCAAGCAATGCTATCTGTGCACTGAGCAATACCTTACTAAGCGGTGTCTTAGCAGTCTGAGCCACCAGGTGCAGAAAATTTTGCTCAGCAGCTGAAGAAAGGACAGGCTCCTACCTGTCCAACCCGCCCGCCAGTAGATCACAGGAGAAGGGAATAAGTATCGAACTCTAGCACTGCATTTCCTAGATACTTGTCTAAAATGACAAAAATAGGCTTGTGTTAAGTTGCCAAGCTTAAATGTCCTCAAGAATGTGCTGATTATAGTCAGTATTCCTCTCCTGAGCTTTTCCTGACCCTCTGGACAGTTAGCGTCCCTGTCCCCATTCAGAGGATACCTGGCAGTCAACCTGAATCTAAGAACATGAGAGTTAGTCTTTGGCCATTGACTAGAGTGGGGTTCATTCACCCTCTTAACTTTTCAGCAGCGTCAGCCCTGGAAGGGAATCCATGCACACTGCAGTGGAAATACCAGCTATTTACCCATCAATGCCAGGTCTCGATATAGTTCAGTCATCTTTGCAAGGCACCAACCCATCCTCTTGCAAAGCACCTGACAAATGCCAAACCAACTGCCTCACACTATATTTTTGAGTAACTAAATAAGCAGTTTCAGCTCTAAAAGTGCTAAGCGCTCCATGCTCCCACTGGGCTTGCATATACTCAGCACCTCTAGAATCACTGAATCACTTTCTTATAGCTGGTCTTCTCCGGAGCCAAAGGGAAATAAGCACCCAGCTCCTAGACCTTCTGTTGTGGTTTAACCTGGCAGGCAGCTAAACACCACACAGCCATTCGCTCACTCCCCACCCCCTGCAGTGGGATGGGGGAGAGAATTGGGGAAAAAAAAGTAAAATTTGTGGGTTGAGATAAAGACAGTTTAATAGGACAGAAGAAGGAATAATAATAATAATAATAATAATAATAAAAGAATATACAAAATAAGTGATGCACAATGCAATTGCTCATCACCCACTGATCGATGCCCAG